AAAATATATTGATTCTCCAAAGACAAGTCCCAAAATCACGTTTTCATTAGACTAAAATACAACCATTTATACACTGATTTTTAAATAATTATGTCAAATATAGTTGAAAATAGAGTTACTGGAGAGTCATACACTAAATACAGTTCACCTAAATTGATGCAGAGAATATAAACGTTACAAAAAGCAAACTCTCACAATTGTCACTTTAACCGCGATTCATAATGAATTGACACAAAAATAGTGACCTAAATAATGTCATCTTTTTATCCCGTCATACAATACATATAACCAAAGAGGTAACTGGAGAGGATATATTATTCCATTTTGTAGTGTAAAATCACAAACGTGTTTGTACATGACAAATAATTTCTCGCATTTCTGATAATGTCCTAACCCATTGATAGATGTAAATAGACGTTAATCTCATGAACGAGATCGTGGATGCTCACTGTTGAGGAGTCTTATACTAGGACGAAACGTCCAGTGCTTCCAGGTTTTCTATGATGACCTAGCTTTTATCGACCTATGAATTCAATTAATGGACGTAAATAAAGCGAGGTTGTAGGATGTGAATATTGTTTATAAACTAATATTACCGATATAAATTCAAGTCATTCAAAGCTGATGAGAAGTCTTGAATTATAATGAATCCATATCATTATGTAAATTCTATTCTTCTTGCTTTATTTTAGTATTTTTTTTTGTACACTTTTATTAATTTCTTTGATCAACTGTATAATTTTTTTTAAAGAAACATAAAGTATCAATTGAGGTTAAGAAACAATCAGGAATCTATTCATTACGTAAACAACGTATTAATATCTTTAAGATACCTCTGTTTTCACTTAAGTTGAGATGAGAAATAATCAATTTGTTCTTATATACAAATTCATCACATGAAATAATTTAAGTGACACTTAATATTACACAAAAATATACAAACAAACAGACAAACATGGATTGAAATCAACTTTGCTTTGATAAATAGTTGTAATCTACTTTAATGTATTCAAGTATATAGAATAATCTAAGTAGTTTATTCAGTTAGTAACAACGATTCTTGCACGAATGTATAGCTTTTTCTTTGCTAAATATTTATTATATAATGAATATTTTGTTAAAACAATTAGATAACTATAATAATTCATTAATAATTAACTTGAAAACAGCTGTTTAATATCTTACATTATAATTAGTGAAGAATATATATTTTCTTATAACATTGATATAGACACGTAATTAATGCGATGAAACTAGGTTGTTTTTAATTTAAATTGGTATTCATTTAACAATTAAACAAATATTAATGTTAATCTTCCTAGGTGCTATAAACTCTGATAGTTAACTATGCAATAATATACACATTTTGATATTTGGTTGATTTATTATGTTATATGAGATGGTAAAGAAGATTTGTAGCTCAGGTGGATGATTTTGATAGAGTTTCGTTCTCTGAGCTGAATGGTTTGATCGTGGAGCTTTCATTGTTCTTCTGAACGATATCATCAGCACAAACTTCAGGTACCTGAGCTCAGAGAACAAGACTCTATCAAAATTATGTTATATTTTACTAAAAAGCTATATTGTTAAATGATCATTGGAAATATAAAAGAGTTTAGACACCTTTTGTAGTTGTAAATTATTACATTTTATTAACTTAAAATGCAACTTCATAATTAATATCATGGACAGATAGTCAAACGATCGTTTAAAATCAAGAACTACTGGACAATTATTCCGCTATATTATCTAACAACTCAATAGTAGTCATATACGACCATACCAGGAACTAGAGATGGGATATTCAGGTTTTGGTGCAAGTAAATAACGCATAGACTATTAAGCCGGTATTCAGTGATTCACATGTCCGTTCGATGAATAACTACTTTAGTTTAAATTTGTTATTGTTTCGGTTACACAATAATTTAAACACGACAATATCTGAATGGAATCCTCATAAGCGTTTGATGATATTCTCGAAAATATTAAACATTCTATGCAAAAAGATAGTTATAAAGTTTATTTCTCAAATGTATCTACTAAATTTTGTCATTCGTATAAAAAAAGTAAACAATAAATACTCATGTAAAATACTGAGTCAAGATTAAATATTGTTAAAAACAAATAGGCTTTAAGGTTTCCGGTTCCCTTACGATATTTGTGAATTAAGGAACTATTAGGCTATTTTAATATGAACAGTTCTATTATGGACGGCAGATTTTAAACAATAGCGATAATTGTCCGCTACCGCAGGAAGAAGATCAAGCGTAAAAAAAAACTTCAACGGTAAACCACCACTCTAGTTGGAATTTCTTCGTGTTTGGCTTTCCTCAATAAAAGAAAGACCTAATTACATTGAGATCTATGTGATAAAGATAGTGTTATATAGATATAACCGGCTGGAAAGGTTAGTAGAAGAATTAAAGTTAAAGATAATCACTATTCAGAATGAATTTCAGCTAGACTTTTTTTGAATAAAAGCAATTCAATTAAATATTGACAGTTAAATGCTAAATTATTAAAATTGTTTTTGTTTTAAGAATGGTTTATACCATTTAAACAATATGATATTGAAGAGAGCGATTATCATTATTAATTTATAAGATGTGGTGTCGAATGATCACCAAGACAGTAGTAACTAGCCTATTTATAAAGTAATTACATATTTATTAGTATGGCGTTGGGAAGATTATTAAGTTTTTGATTGAGATCATGAACCGATTGATGTCAAACCACCATTACAAACCCGGAAGCACTGGACGGCCGTTTCGTCCTAGTATGTGATTCCTTAACAGTGCCCATCCACGATCCCACCTGCAGGATTCGAACCCAGGGCCTTCGGTCTCGTGCGCGAATCCTTGGAGAGCAAGTGCGAATTCGTGACAGGGGAGCGTATCCATGTCAGGTAGAGACAGGTACCTACCTTAGTACAATGGAAGATGGTCGACCAATTCCGTGGGATTGGTTGGGGTGAATCATTAATACTGTAGTGAACACGGACACCAGCATGCACCAATCAAATCACAATTGACGGGGAAGATTTGGAAGATGTAAAAACCTTTACATATCTGGGCAGCATCATTGATGAACATGGTGGATCTGATGCAGATGTGAAGGCGTGGATCAACAAAGCAAGAGCAGCATATCTACAATTGAAGAACATCTGGAACTCAAAGTAACTGTCAACCAACATCAAGATCAGAATTTTCAATACAAATGTCAAGACAGTTCTACTGTATGGAGCTGAAATTTGAAGAACTACGAAAGCCATCAACCAGAAAATACAGGTGTTTATTAGTTGTTATCTATGCAAAATACTTCGGATCCGTTGGCCAGACACTATTACCAACAACCTACTGTGGGAGAGAACAAACCAGATTCCAGTGGAGGAAGAAATTAGGAAGAAGCGCTGGAAGCGGATAGGACACAGATTGAGGAAAGCACCCAACTGCGTCACAAGACAAGCCCTCACATGGAATCCTTAGGAACATAGGAGAAGTGGAAGACCAAAGAACACACTACGGCGGTAAATGGAGATAGACATGAGAAGAATGAACAAGAATTGGATGGAACTAGAAAGGAAGGCCCATGACATAGTGGATTGGAGAATGCCATTCGGCAGCATTCGCTCCATTAGGAGTAACAGGCGTAAGTAAGTAAGTAAGTAAGTATGGCTCTAAGATTTTACTAAGATGTTCTGTGAGTTTGGTGCAGAAATACATTTAATTGTCTCCACTTGTATTCTCGTACATTACAAACATTCTTCTGAAAAATATTTGGTGACAACAAAGACATTCGTTACTCTTGGTTTTTGGCTCTTGCATATAGAAAATACAATTGAGAAATTATAAGGTATGAAGTAACAAAATTCAATTGAAAAGTTTATGACATGAAAATTGGACTAGAACATTTCAATTTATAAAAAAACAGTCAAATAAATAATTATCAGAATGGGGTTTCGTGAAGATTTTAATAATTTAATAGTTGCATTCATGAGTCAGTTAAAGCTAGACCATTATGGGTAACCTGGAAGCACTGGACAGCCGTTTCGTCTCAGTGTGGGACTCCTCAGCAACTTGCACTACGATCCCGCACGCGGGATTCGAACCCAGAACCTAACGATTTCACGGAAAAACGCCCAACCTCTAGACTACTGAGCCGGCATCTAGCAGTGGTGTTTAACTTCAACCACCATTGTCGTGGTGTGCACTGCTGAGGAGCCCCGTACTAGGACAAAACGGTCATCCAGTGCTACCAGGTTTTCCATGGTGGTCTAGCTTTAATCAACTCATGAATTCAGTCATTAGAATAAATAATCACTGATTTTTAACTGAGTTATTAATTGTTCTGCACTCGATACGACTGTATAATTTTCCAGATATCATCAATTTACTAGTAATATACGATATTCTAAGTATTCGTTTGAATAAAAACATAGTGTACACCATGAACCGAATGAATGAAAAGGTGTTAAACTGATGCAAATATCCTTTTTAAAAAAAATAATAAAACGGTATTTAAATAAACTAATTCAATATTTTAAAGGATAATTACCTTCCTATTGTAAACTGTTCTAATTATATATTCAATAGAAGTAATGATCTTAATAGTTTCCGTATATATAATATTCTCTGTTTATATTAACTGCTTCATTCGTCCAACCATTATTCACTGAATTGTAAATAAAACATACAAATGAAAAAAGGAAAAGAAAAGCAATTACAGGAACTCTTGCATTCATACATTGTTGTCAATGTAATTGAACTAAACCAGTGGTAACTTTCTCTACGGACTACCATGATAATATTTTTAGTGAAACTGAAATATTTCAAGAATTGTACCTGGAGATTAAATGGACCTTTTTTTCCCTAATTTTTAGTATATTTAAATTTGGATGGTAGTTTTGGATAATAGTTAACCACAAATATGATCTCAAATCTATGAATGGATTATTTATTCCGTTTTTCTGAATATTTTATTTTTTTAAATTTTTTTATTAGGTGACGGTGTTTTCGTCAGCTTTCATGTTACTTGGCTTAACAACAAGTCGATTTTTAGCTGTTGTATTACCGTGGCAAAATTTAAAAATGACAGAGGTTCAAGCTAAATTAGTGTGTTTTGGAGCATGGCTAGGTAAGCATTGACATAATATTTTCTAATTATATTTAATACATATATTTATAATGCCTATACAGGCTATTTAAAATCATATCACTTTTATCCCGTTCTAATTACTACTGCAAATTTAAACTGTTTAAGTCACTAAGGTAATTAAGATCAATAAAATCTACGGTAACGAATAGATGATTTTTCTCAGAATTCATATTATTCATAATTATGTGTATTTACAATCTTTATACAACGGTGATCATGATTGATTTGTAGACTCACCTTCTTTTAAACTCACCTGTCAAACATTTTATGTTTAATAAACTTTCAGTGTAAACATAAGAAATACATTTATGAATATTATAAGCCACCATAAGTTTAGTGAAATGCATAGATTTACCTGGAATGACTTAATATAAAATGAGAACGTAAAAGTGTTTAAAAACAATAAACGTATTCTTATTAAGTTGATAGCTAGATTTCCTGCTATTTGGTCAACTTAGTGGTAAATTACATGACCATTACCATTCATTTGTCCTGCCAACTAATTAACAAATAGATGTAAATGACACAGACTGCATTGATACAATTATTCAAATTGTATAACTAACAATCTTTACATAGTTTTATCAAATATATGAATCTAAGATTAACTAGATGTTAATGAGCTGATGATATAAAACATTCAAATTTCGTTGATCTAATACTCACCAGTACTATGGTTTAATTAAAACGTGATAACTACTATGACGTATAATATATAGGCCTTCTTTAAGCTGTTTAGTATTTTTCTGAATTAACTATCAATCTTATTCAGATTACAAGCTATAGTCACGGAAATCACCTTATAGATTTATGGATAAATAAAAAAACTCTACCTACTGTGAAAACACTCAATATCATTCACTTCTAGTTCCTTTTTGTAAAATTCACTTTTTTTCTGATTATTTCAGAGTAGTTTTGATCGTTTTGAGATAAATTCACTAACACAGGTTCAATAAATTTTCAATCAACATAGTAACAAAAACTGATGAACTTTATAACGGAAACAGTAAAAAAATAGGATGAGTGTTTTATAAAGCTTTTGTGCTTTATTATAATAAGAAAAGCGGAATTTGGTGGGTTGGGCACAATTAAAAACTTTCAGTTTTTTAAAAGAATATAAAACAGTGTATACGTTTACTTTTTTTTTAAAAAAAATGATCAGTTAAACAAACTATTAAGGTTATGTGGTTGGAAACCAAGTGGCAAAAAGTATTTTTTTTAAAAATCGAAATATTTCATTCTATTGAAATAGTTTCTATGCCAAATCTTGTCGACTTGCATAATTTTTGGTATCGTATCTTCACATTAAGAAACAAATTAAATGTAATGTGGAGATCATTAAGTTTTTAATTGAGATCACGAACCGATTGATGGTTCGTGGATTGGTTGAGGTTGGACATTGACACTATTGGTTCAGTAGGTTAAGTGTTCACGCACGAGACTGAAGGCTCTGAGTTCGAATCCCGCGAGCAGGATCGTGGATAGGCTTTGTCGAGGAGTCCCACAGTAGGACGAAACGGCCGTCCAGTGCTTCCAGGTTTTCAATAATGGTCTATCATCAATCGGTTCACGATCTCAATTAAATGCATCCTAAAAATTAATCCAGAATAAATGTACTTTTTATTTGTAGACAATGATGAATTTGATATAAATTGCTAGATACTAATCAGAGCAATAAAAATTGGATTCTATGCTCTCTGAAAGAGTATGATTTCCGAGTAACTACAAATTGAGCATCTCAGAGAAATGTAACAAAAATGTAAAATAACCAATATAACATAGGGGAAAATGTATAGGTTAAATAATTTTACAATTAGGCATTGGTGATTGTTTAAACTCTACAGCCAAGAAAATAAATAAACAATCATGAAGTTATTATCAGTATAAAAATGATATTTTATACAGAAATACTAAGTAGGTGGAGTAAATAAATCATCGACTGTGATTCAGTATGTTTGATAAATATTCTGACTGAACGCCTGATTCGGTTTTCTAAACTCCTCTAATAATATCAGGCTAAATCTACACGACAACGTGAACACAAGAGAAAAGGCGTGAAATATGGAAAGAACGCTTTACTCCAGATTTAGTTTAAGTACAAAAAATCTATGGTATTTATAACATTTCAGACGGCCTTGGGCATCTGCAAGGTTCTAGAATCCTACTAAACATATTAGCAGAACAGGTAGTCATTCAGTTAGAAATGTGACACGTAACTCATCACTTTCTAGGTATTTATGAAATACTTCTATTCAATACTGAATAGATAAAATGTTTCCCAGAGTTTTCAAGACCCCTCTGAGTGTTTTTTGAGGAATATTTTAGGTCTTCCCAACAATGTAAAATGCTAAATATTTTCCATATAAAGTACGCAAAAATGTCTAAACATGAAAATTATCAGTTTATTTGTCCGCGTTATTTCTCAGAGCTATTATTTCTATTTGGAATAAAGGTGGGTTGAGAGTTAGTGTAATATATCATACTAGATTTTCAATTGTAGGAAGAACTTGATATATGCCTTGTTTTATTAAAAAACAATAAACTTGGGACACTGAATATAAAGTCACATCTTAGACTAATTAGTAAGTGCGCATCCACGATCCCGCCCCCGCGAAATTCGAGCCTAGGACCTATCAGCCTCGCGCCAGGCGCCTAATCAACTAGACCACTGAGCCGTCATCCAACGGTGTTAATGTCTAACTTCAACCAATCCACGAAGTTGCACCACCGTACACTATTGTCTTCAATGAGCTGATATCTCACAACAGACCTGGTTGAACTTCACGGGTAACGGCTTCTCACTAGAACTCCAGGAGTATCTCTTGAAGTCAGTCACTAGTGAGGACGAAATGGCCGTCCAGTGCTTCGAGGTTTTCCATGGTGGTCTAGCTTCAATTGACTCATAATTTCAACCAATGAAATTTCTAAACATCTCCACAAAACCCATTCTGATAATAATTAGTAAGTATTTATTTTTACATTCAAGTTTATAGAAACTGCCTGTAACAAGCTATTTCGAGTATTAATTAATTAGTTTAGACATATGTGAACATTTGATTAATTGAACTATTCTATAAAAACTTCATTTTATTGAAATAGTTTATTTAAAATTAATAACTAAAATTATAACAACAAATGAATGGATATACAAATTTATTTCTTCTCATTACCTCTTGAGGTCATGTTGAAATGAATACGATTATCATTATTCTGTTGCTATTACTTTAGTACACATTTTAAATTCTTGAAACAAAAAAAAACAAACAAAATAATCCAATTGTATTCAATAAGAAACTGTTTTCTTCAAAACAAACCGAAATCATTAAACTATTCTTCACATTAATTTTCTTGTCATTACGAAATAATCTTTATTGTTCCAGAAGAAAAATTTCTAATTCATTTCTCAACAACAAAAAAAAACAAAAAAAATTATATTAATAATAATAATAATAACGTTAATCATAATAGTAACCTTTCTGCCAGTTTTAATTTCATTTGTTTAAACAAATGAGTTTTAGTGACCTTATTCTTCTCTTTTTTTTTAAATAATAATAATCTATTAATAATTAATAAGAGAAACCACACACATTCACATACAGAGAAAAAAATTGAAACTTATACTGGGTAGATTGTAATTAATTTTAAATAAAATAGGTCAATTAGTAACATATGTGTATATTTTCAGCAGGGGGGGGGACGACGGAAAGATAAGGTGGGTAACATGTTTTGAAATCATTCCATGAGATTCACTAATAAATCAACTCGTGTTTTTAAATAATAAAATAGAATCTATGAAAAGAAAATTAACCTTTAGAAAAGATAGAATATTTAAAAGAATAAAGAATAGTAACTGATTTTTAATAGTTAAACATTCTCATTTCATTTTTTTTCTTCCTAAAAAGTTCAATTAAGATCAATCAATCATTTCATTAAAAGGATAATGATTACTGACTTTATATTAATAAAAAAAAAAGAACTCAGTTCATACATGTTTTTTTTGTTATATCAATGAAGTTTAGTAGTGAACTTGGTAATATGGATGATTTGACAAATAGTTGCTTTGGGGGAGTTTTGTTCTCTGATCTGGATGGTTTGGTCGTGGAGCTTTCATCGTTCTTCCGAACGACATCATTAGCACAAACTTCAGATAGAAGTCTATCTAGCTCAGAGAACAAAACTCCACCAAAATCATCCACCTGAGCTACAAATCTTCTCCACCATCTCAAAATAGTTGCTTTGAATAATTCAGATATCTTATTTGTAAAATATGATGAAGACCAAAGATTTTAGATTAACATCAGTGAGCGGTTATATACCGGATTAAGTGAAGTGAACAATACTAGAAGGAGATTTTTGTATAGTTCTCTTTAGTTTTCATCAATTGTTAGTCAATCTATGACGATTGATTAGAGGTTCAAATTATGCGTATGAAAAAGGTTAAAAAAATCTAGAGATTTATAATCACAAAATTGTAATTCCAAATATAATAGCTGTATACCCATGTTCCAGATATATATACCAAAAGATGATCGACACAGTATTAAGGACTGCATGTGATCAGTCTCGATTAGCGAACGTATATTTCCATCATACTTATGAGAAATGTGTTCAGCATTAACTTGAACTATTAAACAATATTATTTACCATCGGAAAAATGGCCGTCAGTATTATATCAATTCATTGAAAGATATGTTACATTTTCATAATCAGTAGTCGAAGCATTAAATTATTGTTTATTAAAGATATTTTGAACATATATATTGGTGAAAATGAAATAATATTTGTTAAGTATAAGAATTGTCTAACAATTAAGAGACGATCAGGCAAGACTATAATTTATGGACGAACCAATCAGATTTGGGATAACCAGTTTTGGATTTTGGCGCGGAATCCATTCATTCATTTGGTTCAAAAGGAGTTTTGACATTTTAGCTGATGTTAGTTCGTGAAGGAAACCTTAAATCTTATTCCTAACCCA